CAGCAGGATAAAGTATAAAAGCATGAATTAGTGCAGATTTTGGCTGATTTGAAACACAAACACTGTTCTAAGAAAGATGTTTAAAGAACAGCAAGTCTGAATTTGCGATCCCTAGAGCTCAATAGTTTGCTTAATGACTTTATTCTATCTATTAGTACACAACAAATTCATATTCAAACACATCATTAAAATTGAAATCTATGAAAGCAAACTATTGAAAAGATTGCAGTAACATTTTACTTTAGCCTGTAAAAATCTTGCTGTTCCTGCCAATGAAGTGCATATTTTAGGCAAAAGAACATGCCTGAAAGCTGCTTTAAGATCAAAAGATTGAACTTCATGTTGTTTCATCAGAACAGCCAAGGGCAATAAAAAGGGCTTACTTTGTCTTACTCTTCTTTGTATAAAATTTGATAACATTAATGGGATTAGATTAATTGACCCCTTACAATTGGAAAAATTTAGTAAGTCCATTTTACAGAGCAGAACTATTTTTTCAGTGCCAGCAAATTATCTTAGTTTTGCTCAGATATAAGAGATATTTTATTACAGAATTACTTTAAACTTTACTAAGGTAATCTTGGCTATATAACCTATAGTAAACCTAAAACACAGTGTCAGCCTTGAATGTGCTATTTGCAGAGCCCAGCACAGGAAAAGAAATCATTCAAATTGCTCAGAAAATTGTATTTGGACCCTGCTATTACTAGTTGATACAAGCAAAGAGCATCTGTAAAACAGCTTACCTTTATAAGGCAGTATAAAACAACACTGAATATAAATAAAATATCCCCATATGTTTTGTGCTTTTGTGCATTTCTAAAGATTTCCTGCATGTATCAATCCAAATTTGCTTTAGCTAGATATATGTATTTTTTAGGGAGTTCTGGTATCCCTCTGAATATACTGAGGCTGTTGATGACTAGGTATCTGTTTTCTTCATATGAACATAGTTGATTTCCTGTTACTGTTATTTGGGGCCAAATTTGGTTTTACATGAGCACCAGCAGCTGAAGAAATTTTATTTACATGTACAGACACTGATCACAACTAGTCACCACCACAACTTCAGAAATACTTTCTGTGTGTAAATGAGGCTGAAATTAGAATAGTTCATACTTTTTTCCTTTCCTTCTTCCCTGACTTGGTCAGAATAGCTACAAACTGCTATTATCCTATCACATAAACAGTATTTTCCAGGCTGGCTGTGTCATCTTTAACCTCTTCCTGCCTGTTTAAATTCTATTTTACAACAGCCTTTTCTCTTCATGCTCCTCCTTCCTACCTGCACTCTGTTCCACTCTGGAAGATGCATCAGTCTGTATCTCCTTCTCACTCAGGAGCTTTTCCCCACCCTGGATCAGCTTCCTCCAGGTATTCTGGGCTTTATCTGCCCTTGCAGTACAGATATTTCTATGGTAGAGATTTGATCTTCTGGTAGGCTCTGGAGGATTACTCCACTAGGGTGGCTCTTGGCTGCTTCCTTCAGTGCATCTCCTTCTCCTTCTTTACACTAATTTCTTCAAATGCCGTCCTTAAAACGGGCAAATTTTAACTAGCCCATTCGTCCTCTGAGGAATGTATTTTCAAGGAGCTGCTGTAAATATTTCTTCATCAGAAAGGTACATAAACAACACTTCCAAAGTTTCCTCAACTGCTGCCCTCAGTAGTATGCTCTCCATAAGCCGCCACTGGTCTGCACTGTCAGGCAGCACAGCATGTTGCTTATAGAATCATAGAGTCATAGAATAGTTGGGGTTGGAAAGGACCTTAAGATTATCTAGTTCTAACCTCCAGCTTTCAAGTAGCTTATTTCCAGGATGTGCATGTTTAGGTTTTCTTGGCTGTAAGTATTATGTAAAAGTACTGCAGATTTAATTAAATATAGAAAAAAACAAGTAAGTAAGGACTTTGAACATTCAGGAGGTATATCTGAGTCTCTTCTGCTTGTTTTTAACTTTTTTTCTGTGTAGTTTCTGATCTGCCATTTGAATACTTTGTTTCTCCTTCCTTATATTTTGCTGATACTTATTAGCATGCAGTATGTGAATGGGTGCAATGTTCAGCACAAAAAGGAATTATGATTACTTCAGACAAATAGTAATTACTTTTTAAAATCTCAGGTATTTTAAAGAGACGCTGTTTTGATTGCTAGAGTCATATCACCAAACTAATGATAAATACGTTACGATAATGATCACTGAGAAAAAGAAATGAACTTGTGTTTTGTCCTGGGGTCAGAAAAGGCATGTGATACACAGAGCTGACACTGGAACAGTAAGTATCAGCTCTTCTGAGTTTACTTCCATAATGTTTTAGGCAAGAGGGTTGACTGTTCTGCGACCATAGACAAATGAATTTTTAACATTAATGGAAAAAGAAATACTTTCTGAAGGTACAGTAGTCAGTTAGTTCCATGTCTTAATTCTGTTCTACAAACATCTTTCTAACTGATTTAAGAATTTGATGGTAAAAGTACCATTACTTCAAATTAGCACATTTCGGAATCTCATTTCAGATTCTGGAGCTGACTCTGTGACCTAACAAGAGTTCTGCTTCTTAAACTAAAGTGATTTAGAAATATACCAGAAGGATCTACCCTTATCATTCTTTTGGTGCAGGGTCCTCAAATATACCAAGAGTGGTAGAATACTGAAACACAGCATGTCAGATCCAGTCAGGGCACAGGAAGTGCTGAAACCCTCTATATCCTGGTCAGCTTTACTAGATAGAAGTTTTTACTTCTCCCCAGTGTAAGGCCTGAATGTAGGACACCAGATGGCCTGACTGATCAGCACTCTTTGAGATCCAGTTTGCAGGAAAGCAGAGGGGATTGACTGGTAGCACTCTGGGCTGAGGCCATGTCCATCGGTTTCTTGAGGCAGAGGATCCCTCTCCCTTTGCTGTTTTCAAAGTCAGAAAATAGTTCTACAAAGAACATTGTTTATATCCTTTTTCCTTCTAATGGCAGTACTTAATATTAACAGGAAAGAAACATTTTGTTCTGAAATTGTTCCTAATTTGTACTATATTATCTCAGAGAGCACAGTGTGACCTCCACATACTCCTTCCCTCTTTCACTTCTAAGAAATTTGAGACATTTTAGAAATTCTATTGTACAGATATTTTTGTTAAGATATTTTTGGTAGAACAAGGCTATTGCTGCAACTATGAGTCATACAGTCAAATAAAACATAATTTATTAATATAATTGCAGTTTGTGTAACACATCTATGCACAGGCTACCAAACATCTAAAATACTTAATACAGGCTATTAAAATCACACCAGTCCAATGCAAAAGCCTCTCAGAGCTGCTTGTGTCATACTTTCTGCTGGCAATCTATTTCATTTCGCTTTTCCCCAGAGCTTCTCAGATATCACTTCTGCACCAACCAGGTTTTAATATGCACTATTCTCACTACCTCGAAGAGACAAACATTTATTATTACTGGAGGCCTCGTTTTTGAAAAAGCACTGGTTGAATATGTATGCCACCTGTAAGAAATCCATTTCTACTCAGTGCCCCAAGATGATCATCCTTTTATTCTGATGACTTCTATCCCAAATCACCAAGTAGCTCTCTTTTATAGAATCTTTTGATACCTCCTGTCTCCCAGTCCATCATTGGACGTATTACTGAATTTTCACTTGCAAGGCCTTTGTTCTACTGTGGAGGTGTGAACTTACCTGTTCAGTCATTCATTTCACATTTTGGTCCCTGAGGCAGCAGAATGAATTTGCCTCAATAAAATGCTGAGCTTTGATTTCACGTTATAAAGACAGCATAGAATCCTTCTTGGCATAAGTTGTGTTTAAGATGTTTGGGCTATACTTATTTATTACAGAGGATTTGTCTGAAAGGCTTTACTCTCTCACCTGTTTTTTAACTTTCTTCTCGTTTCTCTTCTAGAGCAACAGGCTTTGGCTTTTTGAATGCACTATGCAAAGCAGCAGCTGTACTGGGAAACTTAATATTCGGTTCCCTTGTTGGTATCACCAAAGCAATCCCTATTCTTCTTGCTTCTACTGTCCTAGTATGTGGAGGTCTGGTAGGACTTCGCCTTCCTGACACAAGAACCCAGGTGTTGATGTAACTGGGAAAAGCCATTTATTATTTATTTATTTGTTTCTTTGTACAAATGTAAACTCTCCTGACCAATGGTGCAAAGGCTTCAGATTCTCAATGCTTAGTAGAGTGCTCAAATGTCAGAAATAAAACCCAAAATATATCTGGAGTGACAGAGATTTAGAAACCTCCACATAAAAGTTTTAAATTTCAATTTCGTTTGCTTGCATACATCACTATTCAAAATCACTTAAAATTGCAAAGCTACCTCTTAGAACACATCTGGTGACATGTCCAGGAAGGTAAAAATCATACTGATAATTAGATATTTAAAATGTGAGCAATCATATTATTTAAAAAATCTGGCCATGGCATTTGGAGCTTTTGTAAGAGTTCAGACACGCAAGTCAATTACTTAGCAGTATTGGTGCAGAGAATGTTGATGTATCAATGCATGCAGCATTAATCAGGAAACTCTACAGACCACATCAAGACTGAGAATAGTAGGATCTCTTAAAAATGTTAGCATTAAAAATTCAATACAAATACATTTATAAAATTATCAAACGAAAGAGATCCTCTGATGGCAGGAACTGACATTGCTTTCAGTGGAGCTAAGACAACTTGTATAAGCTGATGAACTATCTGCACTTTCAAGTTTCAAAGAGCAAATCTGGTATAATACATATGGAAAAATATATCAGTATTTTTTCTAATTATGTCTGACAGCATTCATTAGGTGGTTGAACCATTGCCAAAAAAATTAGGGTCTCAGGTAAGGTCTTAGTGTAGTAAGATAGAGGTTTTTTCATTAATTTGTCTCTTGCTCATTTATATGAACTTGGCTTTAGGTAGTAATATCTATCACTGCATTCTGTGTCAGTCATTGTCTTGGTCACACTGAAAGAGTCACTGAAGTCCACATAAGAAGACCATTCTTTACATTTAAAGTCACTGTTTATTTACCAGTTCTAGACGTTGCATTTTTCGGTTACTAACAAATGCCTGTGCTACGTGTTGTAGCACCAAAATGTTAGCCCAAGAGGTGTTTATCTGCTATTAACAAATGAGAAAGGTGGCTGAATTAAAAAAGCATGTGTTTGGAAAACTATTGAGTGGTTTTTTTAATGCTGAAAATTTAAATACGATATTGTAGGAAAAAAAAAGGTTAGGAATTGTGTTTATTTTAGAGTATAAATAGTCAAGACATATGAGATTCAATATTTTATATTTAAGTCTGACTTAAACATGTCTTTTAAATTTCTAAACAGTGACATAAAAAAAGAGGAAGAATTATTTTCCACCATGTTCCAGGTTAAGAAAAAAATGCTGGCCTTAGTTTTGCGTCTGTGGATTTTGTCCACTAGTCATAGCTTTAGTATTATTTCAAGGCTGTTTTCTCCAGTGAGAATTATATTTGAGCCCTCTTTCTCTGTGCCATTCGTTAGTAGCATGTGTCCACCTTCTTGTACTTACTGCACAAAGTATTTGAAATCTGAAGCCTCTGTACGTGTTTGGAGTAAACATCAACAGCAATGGTGAAATATTACATTGTCTTGCTGTGCACTGTCTGCTTGAAGTAGTGTATTCTGCCCATCTATGTATGTAATTCTGAAAAATATCCAGATCCAACACTTTATGCCACCTGACCAGTATGGTGAAAATGGGCCACAGAAAAACAAGGTTTGACTTTTGAGGGCTACAGTTCAAGACTAACACACTAAAATCTCATTACGTGCAAAATTATGCTGATCTGAAAGCTGGTTCTTCTCATAAAACCTGAGTATGTCATAAGTGTGTGATTAAGTCTGGATGAAGTGGAATATAGCAACAATAGGAATCAGTAAAGATGAACAAGATTCTCAACTGCACAGACCTTGCATGGTCCAGAATAAAAGGGAATGTTCTAAGGTAGGAAAAGGGGAAAAAAAAAAAGAATACTGTTTAGGAAAGGGGGAAGAAAAATAAATTGAAAAGAGGAACAAAGAAAAAAATCCACGGCATTTCCATCATACGAAACAAAACTTAAAGCTGGTGAAAACTAGGTTGACCCTAGTTGGCTCAACAGATTTGAACTAGTGAACAAGCCACCATCAAAGCTGTTTGAACAATCAATTGTTTGGGCTTGAGTGCAGTAAAGATTTGCCTCATAAAGACAAAAGAAGTGAATGCAATTTCAAGCTATAAATGCTTAGATAGGTACCAGCCACAGGCTGGAACAGAAATACTTAATCTATGGAGATCTAGATGCAAATGTTACTTACGTTACAAGCAAAAGTGACTTGGCTGGTCTTTAGTGAATTTGTCTCTTTTTTTGCAGTTTCCAAAGCAATCTCAGGTAATAAATATTGGACAGTAGGAACTGCACTTCCTTTCTTTGTCTATTCACTTATATCTCACATAAAGAGTCACTTAGTGGCTTGGTTAGATACCTGATACACCACAAAGAACTGACCTTGACAGCATATGTGTATCAGAGCTATGAACATATATAATAAGAAATATTTATTTTTCTGGTTTGGTCACTGAACTGACTGACCACTAAGTGGAAACTTTCTTCAGTATAAATTGAAGTAGGATATAATGTCTAGTCCTCTTCTACATTAAAGCTGAAAGACTCATCCCAAGGACAGCAATGACAAAAAGTACGATGGCTCTTGAAGACAGAGAAGACTGAAAGCATTTAGAGTGGTATTAAACATGATGGTCAACTACTTTATAATTCAAAACCAAAACCTACAGAAGAAACCACATTTTCATTTTTGGCAGAGAATATTTATTTAATTTTACTCCTTACAAGTTGCCTGATAGCAGAGCTTGATTTAGCAGACTCTTATTTCTTGAAAGCAACTTATTCATTGTGTTTGAACGTTTTAACCAGATTGTTTATATTCATGTTAGCACCTTGTTGGTGGAAGCATGTACTACTACATTTGGTATGCATTGCACTGATTACTGAGTAGGGACTCCTAGCAAGGGAACCAGGTCTAGGTGTTAATGGTTTCTGGAGTCCTGAAGGGGATTGTTAATGAATAATGTATTGGGAAGCCTTCTTCTTCTATGCTTGATTTTAGCCAGTGCCTTTCCAGAGGTATGTACTACAAAATTTTGACACGGGTAAAAAAGTGTTAGCCCTCCTTCCTAATGGCTCCAGTAGTCTAGTCTCTTTGTTCATTGTCTTAGAAAAGTGGGGCAAAGTAAGACTGCTAACTCAGACTCTGCTCTCTTTCTCTTCCTGCTATTCCATTAATTCCATCCCAAATTGCTTTTCTTACCAGAGGGTGAATCTTAAAGATAGTCAAAACTCACTGTTCATGCTCTCACTTGCTTCTGACTTTATAGTAACATTCAGTAAGAAGGTTTGCTACATAATTTTTGCAATTTGTCCATCCCTTTTTAAATGAAGATGGAAAGTGCCCTCAAAAGTCCTTCAGATGATTTTATCCTTTTCAAGCAGCCAGACTCCACATTTCCTTACATATCCAGAAGGCTGAACAAACACAAAGAGGGGTCGCCTGTCAGAATGGCCCTTGCTGAGCCATTTTTGCTGTAGGTGCAGCTGTGAGGTAATTTGTCAGTGCACCTAGTGTAGCCCCATGTGAAAGAAATATTATTCTCTGTTTTGTTTTTAGCTTTTTCTTCCACTGTGGATCCTTATCTTTGTGCAACTGCTCATGAAACACAACTGCTGATTCCAATTTTTACAAATATAATACAGTCCTCAGCCCCTCATATGGACAGCCTCTGTGTGCTGGGCTTTAGCTCTGTGCCCCATTCTGAGTTTTAAAATCATCTTCATTAGTCAGAGAAAGATGTTTACATCCAGTTGCACCTCTTTACCTAAACAAGATGATATCATGCTAATACAACCTACAAGCCATGTTTCCTGTTTAATAACCTGGAAATGCAATTGAAATTTCAATCACAATGTTAAAAAATGAAGCCTTGCACTCAGGGGGTCAAACACACAAGAAGTGAAAACAGAAATCCTTCACTTCCTCTGGAGTCTTGAAAGAAAACACATGTTCAGTAATCATAGTCCAGAAGAAAACATGTCTGCGAGACTGCTTTGCCTCTGCATTTCCTGCCTTCTTGTTCATTAAACTTGCTGTAAAATATTAGGTATTTCCATGAATTAATACTTTCCAATGCTGCTAGTTCAGGAAAAATAACATGAAAAGGCAGACTTTTGCCTGCAGCTTGAAGGCAAGACAGGGATCAAGCAGTGCTATGAAATTAGCAGAGACATGTTAGCCAAAAAATCTGGAACTTAGTTCAGAACCTGAATTAAATAGAAAGCACCAATGTAGGATGCTAATTGCAGGTATCCCTTACCTTCACTTACCCTTATCCAGTCTGCAGCCAGTCCATATGCTGAAATAAGCCTGATTTATATTCTTCTGATGTTGATAATTTCAACCAAATGTTGCAAAATATTTTTGGATCCATTATTATCTGCATTCTTTATTTTTGTTGCAGCGGTGAATACCCTATTTCTTAATGCAAAGGAAGTATCCTCCAATATTTAGTCCTAGTCAACGTGGGTAAAATTGTTATATAGAACTTCATCCACATTCAGGACCTTTCTTTGATGCAGTGACTTAGCATGACAGAAACAGGAAAAGGACAAAATGGGCCTGATTTACTTTTCTTATTTGATAGCAGGTTGAATTTTCTCCAAAGACACTGACCTGTAATACGTAGCCATGCTTTCTAGCCCTTCGAGTACATACTGTCCAACTAAAAATGAATAAAGCAATAATTTTTCTCCTCCCACAACATACACACAGCTATGTTTACCAGGACCAAAATTCTTAGTTAAAAAATGGGGAAAGATACAGGTGTCATTGCTTTCTGTGATAGACGGTCTTCCCTGCTTGACAAAGGTCTAGAACATATTGCTCGCTTCTGACCAGCACACAGCCCAATAACTGAAGACTGGAGATTACTTAACAACAAAGGTATTTGGATGAGGATAACCTGACACGAAACTTTGTCCTTTCCACCCAGGGTATTCATGAATATATA